TCGACTTGCGTCTCACCGGCGCCATTTCTCGCATAGCGAACCGTTACGTTTTTCTTATTTGCCTACAGTCTATGCTCATCTCCCATCAAAAGTGGCACTGCCACCTAGAGGGTCAATTTGTTACTACATACTCTGTCTAGAAGCCTGATATTTATGGACAAACATAAAAAAACCTAAATAAAGCAGCAGGGAACCACAAAGGTGAGGATCAGTTTGCCCCTCTGGTTCCTGCCCCCCCGGAGCCCCTCTCTTACCCGCTTTGCTGCAGTCCACTGAGAAGCTCCCCCTCTGTCCCACGTAGGCCCTGCTGAGGCCCGGCCCGCGGCAGGTCACCATGCTGGCGTCTGAGGACTCGGCTCTGGGCGGGGGGGCGCCGCCCAGAGCCTTAACCGCCGGGTCCAGCGTCAGGGTGGACGTCTCGCTGGCGTTGGTCACGCTGACCAGCCGGGAACCTGGGGGGGGAGGGAGGGAAGCCTTCTGTGTGAGGTGGACACACCTGGGGTCACCTGTGACTAGTGATGGGCGAGATGAGGCTTCATAAAGCATTTAAGCTTCATTTGCTCTATTGTGCCATCAAATTGACATTAAATGTAAACCGTACAGCGTGATTATAACGAGACTCTGGCTTTGATGTCTGAAGCTTTGAATGTATTAATCAATGATGTTTGTGATGACCCAGCCTGGGATATGACCCATTGGCTACTGGGATAGGCTCTAGTCCCCCCCACAACCCCATTAGGGGATAAGGGGTTTCCATAATGGACGGATTGATGTTTCTGATGCTTATACATGAATTATAAACTTTTATATGGTGTCTGTCTTTATGATACAATGACAGGGAAGCTTGAATGGATTGTTAACAAACTAGTAATTAAGTCCCAGGTCCACAAAATGTGAGAAAGGGGGATTCATTGCATTTTTCTGTCCCTTATATTTCAAATAGACCGCCAAACCGCGAACCACTTCCTGAATCAGTCACGTGGTACGGCCGGTTCAAACAATCAGTCAATCAATGTTTATTTCTGTAGCACTTTACAACAACCGAAGCTGACCAAAGTGCTTTACAGTAATAAGAGATCAAACTATCAAAATATACAAAGACAAATACATTGGTGACAGAACCCAGTTTACAGAGATTTTACGTGCTAAAATTTTACGCTAGGCTTCACCACATACGTCATGGACTAAAGCCTGGATACGGAGGGACGCATTCCTACCTGTGACTCTGGCCTTGAAGGGGCTGCCGGTGATGTGGCTGGGCCCCCCGTATTTGATGCTGATCAGGTAGCTGCCGGGCGCCATGGGGGTGTAGTGCACCCTGTAGCCCTCGGGGACCTCCTGGCAGTCCATCTTCACCTTCGAGGGGCCCTCGATGGTCACGGCCAAAGCCCCCGGGCCCGCTTTGGTGTTGTTGATGATGAACTCCGACTGGGCGCCTGCAGGATTAGCAGCGGTCAGTTTGGGACTTTTGGTCTACCCGTTTGTGCCGGTTACTCTTTTAGACAAACATCAGGGAAGGTCCCACTTTTTGCACATTTAAAAAGGCACCTTAAACTGTTTCCTAAAAGTTCCCAGGCATGCACTCACTCATATTTTTGTAATGTCATTGTCTGAACGTGTGTCTCTGTTTTAACTGATATTGTATTACAGTGGGGGAAATAAGTATTTGACCCCTTGCTGATTTTGCAGGTTTGCCCACTTACAAAGAATGCAACGATCCATAACTTTAACCATATGTACATTCTAACAGTGAAAGACAGAATCCCAAAGAAAATTCCAGAAAATCACATCATATGAATTTATAAAATTGATAACCATCTGATGAGGAAAAATAAGCATTCTTTGTAAGTGGGCAAACCTGCAAAATAAGCAAGGGGTCAAATACTTATTTACCCCACTGTATGTGATTTTGTGTTGTTTTGTCTTCCTGCCTCAGGACGAAAGATGCAAATTAGCAACTATGCTAGAATCTGGCTAATTTACAATCTGCACTGAAATGCAAGATTGTTTATCAATGAGCACTGTCCTGATTAAATAAGTAATTACAAATAGACCCAAAACCAACCAGCTGGACAAACTCAGCTGGGTTAGGCTTTTTTTTTTAATGAACGGTTAAAGCTAGGCTGACCCACCGGTGGAGCCCCTCTCCAGTCCGGCTCCGTAGGCTGAAACCAGAGACGGCTCCCCGCTCTGCCCCGCCTCTCCCACGCGGACCTGGAAAGGACTTCCGGGGATGTGGGCGCCGTTGAATTTCACGTCGATGGTGTGGACGCCGTTCTCCCGGGGGATGAAGCGGATGGCGTACTTGTCTGGGAAAGAGCACAAAGGGACCCATTTGGCAAATGCTCAGCCGACCAGAGCCGGGGTCTTTTCTGGAAATCTTCCATTGAAAACAAAATACACACACACACCTCTTTCAATCTCCGAGACGACGCACTTCTCCAGAGCTCCAGAAGGGCTGCGCACCTGGGCCTCCATCTTGCCCTGAGCTCCGTTTAGACGCACCGCAAAGGACGCCGGGTGGTTCGCCTTAAGGCCGGACTCCTGCGAGCCCAGACGGAGAGGGTCAAACGACAAAGGGACCCGAGCTCTTAAAGCCCAGGGAACGACCGGGGCCAGAGGATTCAGCTTCACTTTTAAACCAGATTAATAGTCTAATCCAGGGGTGTCCAACTCCGGTCCTCGAGGGGCCACTATCCTGCAGGTTTTAGAGGTTTCCCTGCTTCAATACACCTGATTCTGATGAAGTGGATCAGTTCAAAGGCTCTGTACAAGGCTGATAATCGCACACACATGAGAATCAGGTGCGTTGAAGCTGGGAGACTTCTAAAACCTGCAGGATAGTGGGCCCTCGAGGACCGACTTTGGACACCCCTGGTTTAATAAATCAAAAAACACCCAAATCATAGCCAATTCGTCCACATCCATGTGTAAACCTAACCCGATCACATCTCGGCTTCTTTACTGCGTCCTCAGGAAATCGCTGAACTCCCGAGAGGTGGAAGCTACTCTGACGGGCACTTTGTGGAAGACAAACGAGCCTCGATGACCGTTTTGTCTACTGACTTTATATATTTTACCTGCTCTGATCCTGAACAGCAGGCCGAGCTGTAAAGCTGTAAGAACGCGTTAGGATTTGGCTAAAAATACTCACTTCAGCATAGTATGCTATCACATGATCTATGTAGATTACTGATTGTCTTATTTTCTTTTATAACTATATTTTGTGTTGAAGTCTCTGGCTGTAACCACAGATTCTCTTTCCTCTCCTTTTCTTCCTCTGTTGAATTAGATACACGTCTTTAGGTCAAAAAACACACACCATTTGGTACCACATTCCAATGTCATCAACATGAATTAGGACCTGGCCTGTTCATGCCCAGAGGTAACTAGCCAATAGGACTTGGTTGTGTCCAGTCCTCCTTTTGAGGGGTGTGCCCAGCCCAGGAGACAAAGACCCATCAATCACACCCAGATCTCAGGGCTCTTTGCCCACTGAGACCCAGAGAGAGGTTTTTGTCTGTTAGATCCCAGCTGATATACTTACCTTTGACCCAATAAATGTCCATTTTTTACTCTTGATCTACTCTGGTTTATTCTCAGGTTTCCAACTAAAGAATTGGGTTAACAAACGGGAGGTAAAAGGCAGCCTGAAAACCTTTTATTTCCCTCTTTACACTTTCTGCCTATTGATCACATTACAAAGAAGGTCTGAAAGTAAAACGTTCAAGTTTGCCTCTGATCAGAAACCCTTCAGGGCGGATTTGTCCTCTTACCTGAGCTCCTCCCGACAGCTCCAGCAGGCAGACGCAGACACAATCCCTCACACTGTCCTATAGCTCCACCACTTTCAGAACAAAGCCCAAAAACGGACTATTTTAGGGTTTAAAAACTACTTTTTGGGATGTGGATGGAGCATGAACAAGAGAGTGTGTAAGTTAGGAATGGGGGCGCCCTCTAGTGGCCGACATCTGCCCGCCTGCTGCAGCTGTGCGGGTGGAGAGATGGCCGTGTCCGAGCTGGAGCTGTTAAAAGCCTTTAAATGAAACACAAGAGAAACACCCGCAGTTCCACACCGACCAAAAGGAGGAGCGACCGAACCAGGCAAACAGAATCTGCAGAATCACCCAGAGGCCCAAATCCCCATCCCCGTGTTTTAGGGGTCTGCTACTAGTGACTGTTAAATGTCAAATAAATAGAACAATATGAAGGCTGTTTCTTATAATGCATGGTTTAATTTTAATCATTGTTCACTATATAATAAAAAATAAAAAAAAATAAAAAAAATAGGTTTCTTTATTGATCCCAGTACCCGTTTCTAAAATATGTAATAAAAAATATATTTAAAAAAACTTTGAAAAACTTAAATTTAACATACTGTGAGCTGATAGTCTGCAGGGTTTTGATCTTTAGCCAACGCTGGGAAACTAAGCGTAACATTTCGGTTTAATGAGATCTACAGAGGAGGAGGGATGATTTTTAGCTCTGGTTTCAAACAAAACCACGAGTTTGCCTGGCTGTGGTCACGTCCATGGGGCCAGTTGCATAAAGAAAAGTCACGAAACCGAGTAACTGAGCTGCGACTCGGCTTTTAAACGGGAGCAAATTCCCTCTTTGCTCAGAAATTCGTTTTTTTTGTGTGTTTTTCTTTTATGCAACTGCCCCCGGGGCCTTCTGGAGCTGCTCCTGGGTGTGGAGGTGTCTCCCCGTGTCTCACCTGAAGGCCGGCAACAGTGAGGCGGCGGGCGTCGTCGGCGGGGGCAACCACGGGAACCAGGTAGGGGCTGTCGGGGATGTGCTGCTCGTTGAACTTCACCGAGACCTCGTAGTCGCCTGTGGAGGAGGGGGGGAATAGAGCGTTACCGGGGGCAACGGCAACCTTTTTTGAGGCAAGGTAGATTTTTTCATTGAAAAAAATCACGAGGCACACCACCAACCAAAAATGTCAAACAAATCTGTAGCCGCCTATAGTAACACTATAGTTATTACTTATCTTATCTTAAGTGTCTTGAATAGGAATCAAACACAAAGTACAATTTGAAAGAAGAAATATAAAATATGATAAAAATACATTTTTGTGTTTATTTGATTCCTATTCAAGACACTTAAGATAAGATAAGAATAACTATAGTGTTACTGTAGGCGGTTACAGATTTGTTTGACATTTTTGGTTGGTGGTGTGCCTCGTGATTTTTTCAATGAAAAAAATGTACCTTGGCTCAAAAAAGGTTGAAAAACACTGCACGGTGGTTGAAAAACTCTGTCCTACCGGGCTCCTGGGCGATGTAGGAGACTCCGCAGGAGCCGTCCTTGCGGTCGTCGAAGGCGATCTCTGCGCGGCTCGGTCCCTCCACCGCGATGGACAGGCCGCCCGCCCCCGCCTCCCGCGTCCAGATGCTGAACTCAGCTGGAGGACGAAGGGTGGAGCACAAAAACAGAGCAGTGAAGCGTCCATCACGGAGACTTAAACACCACAAGTTCTACCTAAAAAGCAACGTTTTTTTTTTGTTTGGTTGATAATACAGCAGAACCTCTACTTACGATCACCTAAACATACGAATTTTCCAAGATGCAAAGTGAAATTTGATCAAATTTTCGACTCGATACTCGAAGTGAATTTCGTGTAAACAAGTTTTTTTATGACAAAAATCATAGAAAAAAATAAATATATATAAAAATAAATGAGCTAAGTTAGTTTAAAGTTCACATAGTGAAAGTTAGAGTAAGTTAGGGTATCTTGTATCTCCTGTCTCCACCTCTACCTCTGTTCACCAATAAGTGCCAATAAAAACTCCTTTTATTGATTATTTATGTACAATTTATTTATTTTTACATCTCTGTTTTATAATGCATTTGTTTTACTGATATGTGTGATTATCTGCAGTATTTATTAAGGAGTTATCGTAGGTTTTTGGGCTGTGGAACGAATGATAGGAATTACAGTGTATTCCGATGGGAATATTTGAACCAACATACGAATATTTGAACATACAAAGTAGGTCCTGGAACGAATTAAATTTGTACGTAGAGGATCCACTATAATAATTTGTATAGATCGTCCCTCAGACTCTCAGACGGGCTGATATTCTGTACCTGGCTCTCCGGCGAGGGCTCCCTCCAGCCCCGGGCCGCCGGCCCTCACTTTGGCGGCGCCGCCCTCCCCCAGGGGCCCCACGGTGAACTGGAAGGGGCTGCCCGGCACGTGCACGCCCCTGTAGCGCACGCTGACGCTGTGCGTGCCCGTCTCCGTGGGAACGAACCGCACGCAGTAGGCGTCGTTGCCGGCGGCGACCAGCTCGGCGGGCCGAACGGCGCCGGAGGGCGAGGACACCTCCGCCGTCACGTCCTGCATGTCGATGGCTGCAGGGGGAAAAATAAATAAATAAAAGACTTGTGGGTTTGACATCGGATTAAACATCAGGCCATCCAAGACGGGACTAGTAGGATGTGCTCTATGTGGAGGGTGACAATAAGATAAATAAAACTGGGCCATGAAATGAAAGGAAGGGAGAAAACGGCTAAAACTAGAAATTAAAAACTGAGAATGCCAAGTGCTGAATGGAGGAAGAAGAACAAGCCAAAGAAAAACTGAAAAAGACATACAGTGGGGAAGTATTTGACCCCTTGCTGATTTTGCAGGTTTGCCCATTTACAAAGAATGCGACGATCTATAACTTTAATCATATGTACATTCTAACAGTGAAAGACAGAATCCCAAAGAAAATTCCAGAAAATTACATCTTATAAATTTATAAAAATTGATAACCATCTGATGAGGAAAAATAAGCATTCTTTGTAAGTGGGCAAACCTGCTAAATCAGCAAGGGGTCAAATACTTATTTCCCCCACTGTAGAACTGAAGAGTGGAAAAAGAAAGGCAAAAGAATTAGAAGAAGAGTAAAAAGCCATTAAGCGATCAATAAGGTACAAGAATATTTGAGTGGGATTTGAACTAGCAACCTCTGGATCTGCAGTTAAACGCTCTACCACTAAGTTATACCACAAACAAAAAGTTGAAAGGTCTGAACTATGAGTGACCAGCAGATGGAGCCATGCTTCTGACTCATTCATTTCAATGAGAGAAAATAAAAGCACAAAAAGTTCAATAACTTAAAAAGTTGAAAGGATTGGAACACCAAAAGTTATAGCTGCATAGTGCCAAAGGAGCTGACCATTTTGACTCCTTATTTGCCAATAGGCATTCTCACAAATAAAAGATACGATTGGGCGGAAAAGAAGGAGCTCAATTAGCAAAAATCGGTAATTTAGTAAAAAAAAAAAAAGTCAAAAAGTGAGCAGGAACCACCACTCACGGTCTGTTACCATCTCT